TGCTGGGAAAGATGGAGGGTAGGAGGAGAAGGGGGTGACAGAGGATGAGATGGTTGGGTGGCCTCACCCACTCAGTAGATATGAGTTTGAGCAAACTCTGGGAGATAGTGAAGGCCAGGGAAGCTTGGCATGCTGTAATCCATGAGGTCACAAGGAGTCAGTCAGGACTGAGCCACTGAAAAACAAAGTAAATGAACCATGAGGGACCCCTACTGGTCTCTAACATTAAAAGCTTAACAAGTCTATTCTATTTATCCCAGTTTTAAGTTATCTATTTAAGGGACAACTAAACTTTACACTGAGATATCTGACCAATAATTTTGGGACAGTTAGGCCAAGGGGCCTGACTTCTGGGCTTTACCTGACTCTGGAGATAGGAGAGCCTTGTATATACAAGTAAGTAAAATAGACAGGGAACCAAAAAAAAAAAAAAGGCTTCTAAACTCTCTGAGATCAAAACTTGTTGACTGGATCCTTACGAAAACTAAAGTTGAAGGTATAGAGTTGGTGTAATTTAGATAAATGTATACAAATTGCTATATTTAAATGCACTTTATATAAGGTGGTTACAGCTCTTATTTAATTATATCGTGAGAAAGACAAGGCATATTGATTGCCACTAAGGAAATGGTAACTAAACATGCTGAGGATACCAACAGTTACCTGAGTCACACAGAATAAGTAAACTGGTTATTAACATGCAAAGGTTAATTTTTTTTTTTTTAAGTAGTGCTTTTGCTTGGGTTTAATTTATAAACTCAGAAAAGTCTTTGCTAAACGCCTTATACAAACCTTTGAAGACATGATAAATTAAAACTCTAAAGTTGTAAAACATAGAATTTTGTAAATTAAAATTCAGTTTTATTAAAAATCTTGCCACTGATTTTGGTAACTTTAGGTGACAGAACAGTTCTTTGAAAAACTAAAGAATTGTCTTTGTCTTGTACGTATGTAAACCAGAATATGAAAACAGGCCTCTAGGAGTTGAGGTTAAGCCTAATTATGCAGGCAAGTCTTAGGAAATAAAGAGGGAAAAAAGTGACAGTTTTAAATCAAACTGTTACAGGAAGGGGACCCTTTCCAGGGCCTGAAACTGGGCTCTTGTCTAACACTCGGAAATGAATTGTCTGAGGAGACACATGTGCTGACAAAGCAAGAGATTTTATTGGGAAAGGGCGCCTGGGTGGAGAGCAGGGGGGTAAGGGAACCCAGGAGAACTGCTCTGCCACATGACTTGCAGTCTTGGGTTTTATGGTGATGGGATTAGTTTCTGGGTTGTCCTTAGCCAATTATTCTGACTCAGAGTCCTTCCTGGTGGTGCACGCCTTGTTCAGCCAAGATGGATGCCAGAGAGGATTCTGGGAGGTGGTTGGACAGGTGGTGTCTCCTTTTGACCTTTCCCAAACTCTTCTGGTTGGTGGAGGCTTATTAGTTCCGTGTTCCTTACCAGGACCTCCTGTCGTAAAACAACTCATGCAAATGGTTACCATGGTGCCTGGCCAGGGTGGGCAGTTTCAATCAGTGTGCTTCGCCTTTTAACAAAACTACTGAAAATATTCCCTCAGCCAGACTTTACAGATAGCAAGTCTTAACCATATGAACAAGAAACTTTGAGGTATTCTAACTGTTCGTTAACTAGTAAGTTTATATCTATATTATAATACCTGGTTCATGCTAAATTTTTAGTAAGCCATGAGATCTTGTAAATCTCTGCAAATTATAGCTCATGTAAACCATAGCTACCATACAAAGAATACAATGATGGGGGAAAATAATAGTAGGTAAGGTATTATTATGGGGTTTCCCAGGTGGCACAAGTAGTAAAGAACCTGCCTGCCAAAGCAGGAGACATAAGAGACGCAGTTTTGATCCCTGAGTTTCGAAGATCCCTGGAGGAGGGCACAGCAACCGACTCCAGTATTCTTGTCTGGAGAATCCTCATGGATAGAGGAGCCTGGTGGGTTAGTCCATAGGCTTGCAAAGCGTTGAACATGACTAAGCACACAGCACAGCATTTTGGTTTGTAACACTAGTAAAATCCTGTGTGAATTACATGAGTGTCTGAGCTTCCGTCTTAACCCTCTAGAAAATGTGATTAATTGTGTCTATATCATAGATAAGAAATTTGAAAGGGAGAACTACACAGAGAACACACTGTGATGTCTGAAAAGAGTAGATGCTCACTAGTGATACTCCAGCTCAATGCTTCAGGGTCACAGGAAGGCCCCTAGGGCCCAGTAGGTGACACCTAGAACAAGCTCTGATTCTCAGCAGGGCGGGTGCAGGGGTCATTGGTGCCTAGAAGATACACAGTCAGGCAGATGCCATGGCTCAAGGAACCCCAAGAAACGGCTGGCACCCAAATCCTGTGTGTACCTACATCCCTCTTTCTTTCCCCGTGGCCTGAGGGTCTCTGCTGGCAAGAAGCAGGGCATCTGCAGCAACCCCTCTCCCGCACCATCCTGTAAGAGGCACACCTCAGAACTGGGCAGTCAACAACTTCACCTTGTCATCTGGGACCCACTAGGAAGATCGGGGGAGGGGGAAGGAGATGAGGGGGAAGGGGGGACCCGGTCTGGACTCTGGGAATTCTGTGCCGAATGGTCTCAGCAGTGGAGAAGAAGGGGGAGCATGCAGTGGACCGAGAAGCTCAGACTGACCCGACAGGACTCTTTGCTTCCAGTTCCCCTCCCATTTCTGGAGCTTCGCCCCCACGCCCCCACCCACCCACCCACCAGGATGTTTCCTTTGCTCAAGTTCATTCCCACACCCTCAGGGAAGATCCTAACCCTGATGGATCCATTGAGCTGTTTCCCCCGCCCCTGAACACTGCCTCTCCCTCTCAGCAGGAAGCTGACTCACACTGTATCTAGAACTGCAGAAACGCAGTGACCTCCCAGTGTCCACTCCCATCCACACCAGAAGGATGTGAACGCCTTCCTGGGGACGAGGAATGCCCACTCCTGCCCAAGGCCACCTGGGCTACTTTGTAATCTCTGCTGCCACAACCCGCAGATCTGCCTCCCCAACTTCCAAACCCTCCTCAGGGCACCTGCAGGCAGGCCCACCCCTGCTCCTGGGACCCTTCCCGTGAATTCTGCCCAGGGTCTGTGTTTACAGAACTCCACCTGAGATGCCCACGGTTCCTTTCCAGCCCCCTGCCCGCCGCCCCACCTCCCACCTGGCTGTGGTCACACGGCTGTGACCCAGGGGACAGAAGTGTGTCTGCTTCAGGGCCCAGCCCGGAATCCCCTCAATCCCATAGGGTTTCCTGGATGCTGGGAGCATGTCTGTTCCTGGATGGCTTCAGGACAGGGACTCTGTCACCAAAATTACTGAACCAGGATTAGAGGCTTAGAACTTCCAGCTCTACCCACCTCCCAGGGGGAGGACAGTGGCTGGAGACTGAGTTCATGATGGATCGTGACTGTGCCTACATGATGAAGCCTCCATCAAAACTCACAAACTATTGGGTTCAGAGAGCTTCCAGGAGCACGGGCACAGTCCCAGATCCACAGGGCAGAAACCCCTGTCCCCCAGACACTCCCAGACTTCACCCTCTGTGCCTCATCATCTGACTCTTGGTGTGTATCCTTTAACTTCATCCTTTCCCGTATTAGGTAACAAATCAGTAAACAGTAAACAAATCAGTAGTGTTCCCTGAGTTCCTTGAGCAAATCACAGAACCCAGGGAAGGGAGCCCAGGTAGGTCAAAAGTGGGAGAGGCCTGGAGTAGTGTGTGGAGCTGGGTGTCTGTTGGACCCTGTCCTTAACTGCCGTGACCCTCTCTTCATCCTGCATGTAATCCTCCAAAAATGACCCTAGTCTTTATTTCAAAGGAGATGGTTGCTCATGAGAATGATAAGATGGAGAATTCTGACAACACCAAGTGCTGGCAAGGCTGGGAGGGGGCAGTGACTGGAATTCTTGTGTTGATTTTTGGGGTGCAGACAGAACATTTTATCAGGAACACCATCTGCAGTCTCATAAATTAATCATGTAAATACCATCTGATCCAGCAATACCATTAGGTATTCATCCCAACTACATAAAAACATGCATCCATGAGACTTGTACAAGGAGTGTTCTTGGCAGCTTTATTCAAAACAGTGCCTGTGAAGAAACAACCCAAGAGTAGGTGACTAGATAAACAAATCCTGTTACATCTCATGCAATGGAATGCTACTCGGATTAAAAAAAGAACAATGTTGATAAATCTGAAAGAAATCGAACTCCTAGACTGTCTATGCCCATGTATGTGCAGTTCTTGAACAGGCAAAAATAACCTCAACAAAGCCTAGGATGAGATGCAAGGCCGGGGAGGAGCCCTGAGGTCATTTGGCTGATGGAGATATTGGCTGGTTGCCGGCAACATAAGCATATGTGTTTTTCTAAACTCATCACACTGTACATTTAAAATGGGCCCATTCGTTTGACAGTATGTAAATTGTCCCTCAAGGGAGTTCTTTTTTTTTTTTTTCAAATGAGTTGGATATCAAGGTAAAGAAGAGACAGAATTTGAAGTGAGTTTTAACGTGATCAAGAAACACTATGAATGTTAACTCCATCATCCCTTGGGTTCTTTCAGTCTCAAGGCCCTTCTATCTTAATTAAACCTACTTTCTATTTTATCTCCGCTGAAACTAGCCTCCAGTCCACTTCCCCAGTCTGCTCCCTTCTCCTTCCATGAAGCCTCGGTTTCTAGAACATGGTCCAGTCCTTCTCCCTAAATCTACACTAATGGATTCTCCCCCTATACAAGGTTCATCACTATCCTTCTTGCCTAGTTGAACCTGTGCGCAAGACCCGCTAGGTACCTTTTTATAGTCAGGACTCCAGCCCTCCCTTAGCGGCCTACGCTCCCCAGGTTCACCACGCCCCCTACGTTTCCTTCACTCTGCATCCACACCCTCACGCCCTGCATCCATATATCCACGCCCCCCACGTTTCCTTCACTCTGCGTCCCCACCCCTCACGCCCTGCGTCCCCACGCAGCCTGGGCCAGTCGTCCGCCGTCTGTTTCCCGTCAGTCCTTGGGCTTGGCTGAGGCGTTTTTAGAGATTGTCTTACCCTCTTGTTCTCTCGCTGTGAGTAACCGCTCTCCGTGCTTCCCCTCAGTTTGTTTTGCGTCGAACAGAACCAACTTGGTGACACATTTGGTGGTGAATTTGGAAGCGGTCCGGGAAGGAGGGAGTACCGGGGACATCGGCCCGAGGACTTGGCCCCTCACGGGGACCGAGAGGCCCAGCCTGAGCCTCGGGTCCTTCTGCTCCAGAGCCGCCCCCCAGATCCCCACCGGACCTCCTGACCTCCTGTGGTCAGTTTCGTTTTGTGGCAGAAAAGCGGTTTGGGGGTTCAGGTAGAAAGACGTCTTCTGGGTGTGTAGCCTCGTTAAGAGACCCTCCTGTGCTGGGTCGTTGGATGGTCCTGACTGGACAGAGCTAGAGGCTGGTTGGAGGGGTCTGGAGACAACTAGGGAAAGTCCGGCAGCTGAGGGGCTTCCTGGGTGGTTCAGTGGTAAAGAACCCGTCTGCCAATGCAGGAGAGTCAAGAGACGAGGGTTCAGTCCTTGGGTCTGGAAGCTCTCCTGGAGAAGGAAATGGCAACCCACTCCAGTATCCTTGCCTGGAGAATCCCGTGGACAGAGGAATCTGGTGGGCTACAGTCAGTGGGGGCATGAAGAACCGAAAAAGACTGAGCGCGCGCACAGCGCCAGCTGGGGCTGGAGACCCGGGCGCTGGTGTTCACGTCGGTCTATATGACTATCTTAACTGTTGAGAACTGGCTGCTGGGTTATTGGTGATAAAAGAATGGCCCAGATCTTGGTTCTGTTCAAGAAACAGTTATCCAAAATGGTAATAAACTGAATATGCCACTCAACTCTGAAGAGTTAAAGCTTAGGCAGGCAGTCCAAGGCCCTTTAAGGAGGAAGTGAACATTCTCGCTCATGCTTTCCTTAAGCCTTGTGCAACAATGTCTCTTGCGGGAGAACCGGCCTTTCTTTATGAGCTAATGATCACACAGCACAATCTCTTACTCATGGAAATGCTTTTCTTAGGCTCTGTATTAATAATTACAATGGTGACAAATCTTGCCTGCAAACCTGTTTCCCAAGACTTGTACCCATGATGACATATCATCAGTATATCTCGCCCAGAGACATTGCTCAGAACCAGTTCTTCCTGGCTAATGTTGTGCCAAAGTTATCTCAGGATGTATACCTCGGGAAAGGGTCTGGTGGAACTCTTACAACCCTGAGGTATTCTTTTTACCTGTTCACAGCAGCCGGTTGAGAAGTATAAAATGCCCTGCTTAACTAGTGAAGGTGGGTGCTCTCCTACTTCCTTTTGATGTCTATGTCAGAAACTTTTTCTATTATTTTCACTTTAAATAAAAATCTGAACAAAACTCTGAGTGACTGAAATTCATCTTTGGTCCTTGAGTTAAATCTTCTCGTTCGGAGACCATGAATCCAGCGGCACTGAACACCTTAAGGTGTCAACTCTGAGAAAATTATACAAATAAAGAAAATACACTTCAATCTGCATGAGCTTGTGTAGAGTACAGAAGTGTGTGGATGAAGCAGCTGATGTGGAGAACATCTTTTATTAATCTTTGTATTTGTGGATAATTGTTTAAATTGGACAGTTGAAATAATAGATTCTGTGTGCCCTTTACCTAATTTCCTCCATAATAAGACTCATGTAGAACTGTAGTTAAACATAGTAACTAGCATATTGACCCTGATACAGTCACATGCTAAGTCGCTTCAGTCATGTCCGACTCTGCGACCCTATGGACTGCAGCCCACCAGGCTCCTCTGTCCATGGGATTCTCCAGGTAAGGATATTGAAATGGGTTGCCTTGCACTTCTCCAGCGGATCTTCCCAACACAGGGATCAAACCTGTGTCTGTTATGTCTCCTGCATTGGCAACATACAGTCACATACAGAACATTTCAGTGCCCACGAAGACCTTGTTCCTTGCCTGCCTTTAACAGCTATACCTGCTTTCCTTCTGTCCCTCCTGCTACTTCATTCATCCTTATCTCCATTTCTGTAATTTCCTCACTTCAGAGATGCTGTTTAAATGCAAATCATACGGTATTGTAACCTTTGGCTTTTTTCACTCCAAATTTTTTGGAGATTCATACAGATTGAGGGCTTCAGTGATCTTTTCGTTTTCATTGCCAAGTACTGTATCATTGTACGGATGTATTACAGTTTATTTATCTGATGAATGACATCTGCATTGTTTCCTGTTTTGTGTTATAATAAGTAAAACTTCTGTAAGGAAAGCAAGATCTGGCTATTGGGGACTAAGCTTCTTGGTGACCACAGCAAGGACCCTTACATTTCATTGCTGTTACCCCTGGAAGCAAAGCCGCTTCAGAATGGGAGAGGCTAATTGCAAGGTTCCACCTTGTGATTCCCTTTATGCTATGTTCTCCAAAGTTGGGTGACCTTGACTTATGAATCCACGCACAAGGAAGAGGTGATTTTCTTTCTGCCTGTTCTCCTATGCCTCCACCGTGACACACACCCACCGACACCCACGCACCCACCTACCCACCCATCCACTCCATGGCTACAACATCCTTTAGACTACAGCGGAAAACAGCCTGGAAATGGATTCTTAAGTTACAATACAACTTTTCAAGATTTATGTTGTAACTGGGAAGGTGAAATGCTTTTTTACAGTCTCCTATGTTATATCAGAATAAACCTATGCCAAGAAGATATAAAGTCCCACAGCGAAGAAAAGAAACCTGTTTTGCTTGGTCCTAAACCTGTGGCTTAGCAGCAACAACAAACCTGTATGCAGGTCAGGAAGCAACAGTTAGAACTGGACATGGAACAACAGACTGGTTCCAAATAGGAAAAGGAGTACATCAAGGCTGTATATTGTCACCCTGCTTATTTAACTTATATGCAGAGTACATCATGAGAAANTGGAAGGACTGATGTTGAAGCTGAAACACCAATACTTTGGCCACCTCCTGAGAAGAGTTGACTCATTGGAAAAGACCCTGATGTTGGGAGGGATTGGGGGCAGGAGGAGAAGGGGATGACAGAGGACAAGATGGCTGAATGGCATCACCGACTCAATGGATATGAGTTTGAGTAGACTCTGGGAGTTGGTGATGGACAGGGAGGCCTGGCATGCTGCAATTCATGGCGTCGCAAAGAGTCGGACACGACTGAGCGACTGAACTGAACTGAACTGAATGAAAAGGAGGATGACTTGCTGTCAATCAGACCTACCTGGGCACATGATTGGGCCAGAAAGCTACCCAGACTCAGGTGGGGCAACATCTGTTAAAGCAAGTTCCCCTTGGGGGTGTGAATGTGAGGTGGGTGGGATGGATCTGGGTCCACTCTTCTTCTGCAACTTTGAATTTATTTGAAAGAGTAATATGCCAACTTACAGAAATGGCCCCAAGGGGATAGAAAATATTTTTTCAATCTTTTTTTTTTCCTTCTTGCAATCTGCAGCCTGACCTGTGCAAATGTTCAAAGTGTATTAAACACCCTTCTCAACTTCAGAAGAAGGTAGAATAGTACAGGATAAAACTCAGGAGGAGGCAGATGGGCTTCATACAGAAGCCCTAGTGACCCAGCTCGGGCTGCAGCAAGTGTAGCTGTATGAACAGCAGATCCTAGTTGGGATGTGAGTGCTGGGGACAGGATGAAAAATGAACATTATAGAAATTGCATTCTTGTAGGACTGTGAAGAGGGGACCAAAACAAAGAAGCCTTAATAAAGTATAGAAAGTAAAACAGAAACTGAATGAGGAGCCTTCAGAATTTCTAGGCAGGATCTGTAAAGCCTACTGGCAGTACAGATACAGACCATGAGGACCCAGAGAATTTAAAATGGTCCCTATGATTCTCATTGGTCAGAGCAACTCTGACAAACAGAAGAAGCTGCAAAAGATGGGAGGGGCTTTAAGGATGCCAGTGTCTCAACTTGTTGGAATGGCCTTAAGTTTTAAATGACCCTTACAGGAACCAGTTTCAGGAGAAAAGGAAACAATGGAGAATGAAACAGGCCTGAATGAAACAGGCTGGCAGCTGCCCAAACCCAGGGAAGAGTGAACCAAATTGAGGCCCGCATGAGGAACTCAGCAAAAGGTAGGAGGCCTCAAACCTCCACGCGAATGGGACACCTGATAGTGGGACCACACTAATGTGCATACTGCAGGCAGGAGGGACCATGGAATAGTGTCCCATGCTGAGACTCTTAAGGGAGGTAAGCAGGTGGCATATGCAGTGCCCCAGGTAACTGACAATGACAGTGACCAAGGGTGATGCTGCCAAGTCATCGCTGCCTCCCACATGGAGCCCTGGAGGGACTTAACTTTAGAGGGAAATCACTACAATGTTGGGAGTCCGGGAACTTGATTTTAAGTACCTGGCTTTCTAAACTTTCTTTGGAGACTGTTAGTAGCAAGGGGTGTTAGAGAAACCTAGAGAAAAGCTTTTCTCTAGCAGGGGAAGAGCCCTTAATGGCTTTCTGTCTGTGGCTGATGGTCTCGCTCCCACTCTGGGGTGAGATTGACTGAACTAAGTGCCAGGGTAGCCTCCACACCTGGACGCTGCTACTGCTGCTAAGTCACTTCAGTCGTGTCCAACTCTGTGCGACCCCATCCGTGGGATTCTCCAGGCAAGAACACTGGAGTGGGTTGCCATTTCCTTCTCCAGTGCATAAAAGTGAAAAGTGAAAGTGAAGTCACTCCTGGACGCTAGGTGGACCTTAAAGCACCATCAGAGCAGACCTGCAAGTTGCAGGCTCTACTGTGGTGGTTCTGGGAAAGAAACCCCAGAGGGCAAGTCTGGGGGATGGGTGGATGGAGATGCTAGGAAGAGGGGATATGGCCACCGCAATATGAGTCAGGCTCTGCAGGGAGCAGGCATCCAGACTTTATGCAGTATCCATAAAGAGGAGGAAGCAAAGCTTGGGGTGGACTCCTAATAGCCTTTCTCCAGTATGGCCCAGTATGATCCTGCTGGTCACTTTGTGATTGACTGGTCCACAGCTGAGTTTTAAAGAGCACTTAATAGGTTGTAGGAATGCATTGCTCTCCCTAACCCATACACTGCTCATGACTTTGTCCAGGGACTCTTTGGACCATTTTGGACTTGAAGGAGGCCTTTTCTGCACACCTTTGAGTTTTGAATCCCAAGTCTGCTTTTGAGTGGGAAGATAGAGATAAAGGAGTTAGACTACAGTACTGTTAGACAGCGCTTCCTTGGGGATTTACAAGTTCACAATACTTGGAGAAGTCCTGGCCAGACTTGGAGGACCTTGAACTAAACAGAGGAGGCCCTGCTCCAGAATGCAGACAATGTTCTGATCACCAGTGAGACAGAGGACACCTGAGACCAGCATATGTATTTGACTTCAAACTTCTTGGCTGAATGAGGCTGTAAGGTGTCCAGGAAGAAGGCAGATTCTCAGTCCTCTGTTAAATATTTGAGATTTTCAACTCAAGGACAGAGAGCTGCCACTAATGGGAGTGGGGAAGCTGTAACCAGGATTGCGGTTGCCTTCAGAAGACACCGTGGGGGTCCTGGGAGTGACCAGGCTCTGCCACATCTGGACCCTCAATTTTAGACTCACAGCAAAACCTTTCCAGTGACCCTTTTGAAGGAGGAGACAGGGTTCTGCTAGGCTGGAATCTTGGAAGATGAACATCCAGAAGACTGGCTCCATCCCTGCTGGTCAGACCCTCAGGAGAACTGCAATGGGAAATGGAAACCATGCTGAAGAAGGAGAACCTCGACAAAGGTTGTCCAAACCTGGCTGGCTCCAGCTCCACCCCAGACACTGGCTGCTCCCAGGGGCAGAGCAACCCGACCGATCTCAAGTTGCTCTTCAGAAGCTGCAAGGAAAAAAAAACCCTGCAGGAAAGAAACCAAGGTGAGTGGGTTTGCTGCAGTGGTAGCTTTGTTCAAGTCAGATGCTTTGGAAGGCAACGTAATGACTTGCTAGATTATGAGGAGAATGTGTTCTTTGGGAGTCCTTTGTTTCTAACCTCCCAGGCTTGGAAGGACTTTCATGCTTTGGTAGAAATAGGTAATGATTAATGGCTTTCTGTCTATGGCTGATGGTCTCACTCCCACTCTGGGGTGAGATTGACTGAATTAAGTGCCAGGGTAGCCTCCACACCTGGACGCTGCTACTGCTGCTAAGTCACTTCAGTCGTGTCCAACTCTGTGCGACCCCATCCGTGGGATTCTCCAGGCAAGAACACTAGAGTGGGTTGCCATTTCCTTCTCCAGTGCATAAAAGTGAAAAGTGAAAGTGAAGTCACTCCTGGACGCTAGGTGGACCTTAAAGCACCATCAGAGCAGACCTGCAAGTTGCAGGCTCTACTGTGGTGGTTCTGGGAAAGAAACCCCAGAGGGCAAGTCTGGGGGATGGGTGGATGGAGATGCTAGGAAGAGGGGATATGGCCACCGCAATATGAGTCAGGCTCTGCAGGGAGCAGGCATCCAGACTTTATGCAGTATCCATAAAGAGGAGGAAGCAAAGCTTGGGGTGGACTCCTAATAGCCTTTCTCCAGTATGGCCCAGTATGATCCTGCTGGTCACTTTGTGATTGACTGGTCCACAGCTGAGTTTTAAAGAGCACTTAATAGGTTGTAGGAATGCATTGCTCTCCCTAACCCATACACTGCTCATGACTTTGTCCAGGGACTCTTTGGACCATTTTGGACTTGAAGGAGGCCTTTTCTGCACACCTTTGAGTTTTGAATCCCAAGTCTGCTTTTGAGTGGGAAGATAGAGATAAAGGAGTTAGACTACAGTACTGTTAGACAGCGCTTCCTTGGGGATTTACAAGTTCACAATACTTGGAGAAGTCCTGGCCAGACTTGGAGGACCTTGAACTAAACAGAGGAGGCCCTGCTCCAGAATGCAGACAATGTTCTGATCACCAGTGAGACAGAGGACACCTGAGACCAGCATATGTATTTGACTTCAAACTTCTTGGCTGAATGAGGCTGTAAGGTGTCCAGGAAGAAGGCAGATTCTCAGTCCTCTGTTAAATATTTGAGATTTTCAACTCAAGGACAGAGAGCTGCCACTAATGGGAGTGGGGAAGCTGTAACCAGGATTGCGGTTGCCTTCAGAAGACACCGTGGGGGTCCTGGGAGTGACCAGGCTCTGCCACATCTGGACCCTCAATTTTAGACTCACAGCAAAACCTTTCCAGTGACCCTTTTGAAGGAGGAGACAGGGTTCTGCTAGGCTGGAATCTTGGAAGATGAACATCCAGAAGACTGGCTCCATCCCTGCTGGTCAGACCCTCAGGAGAACTGCAATGGGAAATGGAAACCATGCTGAAGAAGGAGAACCTCGACAAAGGTTGTCCAAACCTGGCTGGCTCCAGCTCCACCCCAGACACTGGCTGCTCCCAGGGGCAGAGCAACCCGACCGATCTCAAGTTGCTCTTCAGAAGCTGCAAGGAAAAAAAAACCCTGCAGGAAAGAAACCAAGGTGAGTGGGTTTGCTGCAGTGGTAGCTTTGTTCAAGTCAGATGCTTTGGAAGGCAACGTAATGACTTGCTAGATTATGAGGAGAATGTGTTCTTTGGGAGTCCTTTGTTTCTAACCTCCCAGGCTTGGAAGGACTTTCATGCTTTGGTAGAAATAGGTAATGATGAGGATTTCTGCTGCTTTGGTAAAAGAGGTCAGAGATTCTCTGACGATGGTTCTATCTTTTAAAACCTGTTTCTGTACCAGATCATGCTGAGCCCTTGGTTGCACTGGTCAACTTTCTGACCACAGCTAACTTCGCTGACTTCAGATGTAACCTATCAATTGGACTGATCATCTGTCCACTCCTTTCCCTAGATAAAGCCTCTAAATATCCTGAATGTTAGCTGTGGATGGCATTCTGTGTGCCCAGTGAGGGTACATCTTTGCAGTTTCAGTTACCAGCCTTGAGCCTGTGGCTGTCTTGACAGCTGGTGCACAGGAAGTATTTGTTTGTTGGGGTCAGTGTTAATGTGAAACCAGAAATAAGAAAATACACTCAGATGAGTGCTGAGCAGTTTGACTCTTCAAGTCCTTGTTGGGTCTACTCCCCTTATCAGCAGAAAGTAGCCAAAGCCGTCCACCCCTCTCCCCTAGATTGAGGCACGATCACGAGATATGGGGGGGCTGAACCCATTCTACCTGCTATCCCTAATCAAGGTTGTGAAGGCTTACATGTCCTTCAAGCAGTTCAGAGCCCAATCAATAAGTTGTTTATCTGAGTTGTCTTCTATGAACTTTGAGGCAGCTCTATTGAGTTTGGGCTGAGCTGGTTGAGATGGGATAGGATCTCCAGCCCCTCACCTGGATCTACATGTGTGCTGGTGACCTTGTGAACATGCAGAGGCCTGGAGCCTAGTCACGCCTGTACACAAGGATGGGTAGGCACCTTTTTAATCATGGTGCCCACACGGTCCTGTTCACTGTCCCATCAGTTCCCCAGCCCCATGACTCCTGGGAGGCAGACCTGAGATTTGTTCTCCAATCTTCTCACTTGACTGCTCCACGAATAAGCCCTCTTTGCTGGTGACCTTGGCATCTCAGTGTCTTGGCTGGCTGTGCACCAGGAAGAATGAACCTGGTCCACTAAGAGTGACAGTACTTCACCTGTGACATGTTATCTAGGAGGGTGCCTGCATACTCCATCCCCAGAAAGCCACCGATGGACAACCCAGGGCAGTTGGGCTCAGCATCCTCAGATGCTGAGCCTTGCCAGTTGATCCTGAAGACCTAGTGACTCGTTATCAGAACTGGCTAGTCTTCCAGTTGTTCAGAACTCAGAGGCAGGTCCGTCTTCCCTCCTGGCTGGAGCACTACCTGAGTGGGGTTGGAAGGTCAGGGAAGCCCAGGGCAGCAGGAATTCTGTGACCAGGATCCAGGGGGTGTGGACTGGCATCAGTAGTGCTTTTCCAGACCCAGCTGTCCAGAGACAGTGGACTCTGAACTTGAAGGATGAGGGCCACATTCCCCGACCACTGTGGGAAGTACCATCATTTGAAGGGCCAAGGGGTAAGGGTGGTCCTGCACTGAGGGTGGATGCTCCTCATGGGGCGCTGGGTCAGTGAAGAAAAGTCTCTCGTGGGCAGCTTCTGCCCATGCAGGGTAGCATGCTTTCCCATGGACATAGGCACACTCTGTTCTGTGCTCTGCAGATGCTGTATTTCTTACTAATCCAAGGTTTGTGGCAAGCCTGTATTGAGCAAATATGGTGCCAGTTTTCCAGTAGCATTTTCTCACTTTGTCATATTTTAGTTACTCTTGGGGTATTTCATACTTTCATTATTTGATTTGTGATTAGTGATTTTACTCTTCTGACTTGAAAAGCCCAGGTGCTGGTTAGCAGTTTTTGGCAGTGAGGTGTTACGGTGTGTGCACTGTTCAGACATAAGCCTACACACATAACAGGCTAGAGTGTAGTGTCAGCGAGCTTTATATGCACCAGACACCAACCAGTTTACGTGACTCACATTGTGCGATAAAGTCCTGATGATGACCTGAACCCAAGTTCTCTCTGAGGTCTGCCTGTCACTTGCTTCAGAAAGAACCTGTGGAGTTCTGCAAGCAGGACTGGGGATCCAGGAATGCTGAGCCCCCTTGCACTGTGGAGGAGGGACAGTCTGTGCCAGTGTGACAGTGACAAGTGGGCTGGGGCAGAGAAGGGCCACAGTCTGTAGCACCAGACTCTAGTCCGGCTCCTCTGAGTGGCTCCCAGGAGGCCCTGACTCCCCAGGCTTCGGAGTCTATCTTTTCATCTCTGATTTTAGCTGAGATTCCTGTTGAGTCAGATTAGCCAGAGTTCCCCAGACTCAACCTCAGACCAGATTGCTCATCCCCCTTCCCCCGATAATGAAGTCTGATCCCCTGCCTGCCCTCAGCATGAATCCTGTATGTTGGTTTAGTGGGGTTATTCTGCTACAGTCTGAGTGTGTATTCCCCCAAAACTCAGATCGAATCCACATGCCTAGGGTGGGTGGTGGTGTTGGCCTTTGGGGGATGACAAGGTCATGAAGGTAGAGCCCCCCCATGAATGGGATCAGGGTGCTCCCAGCCCTTCCACCACTTGAGGACGTGGGGAGAAGGCACCATGTGTGAACTGGGAAGGGACGTCACCAGACATTGAGTCTGCGGCGCATTGATCCTGGACATTTGTCCTCCAGGTTCTGAGGACTCAGCTCATCGTCCTGTTGTTACAGGGGCTCAACAGACACCCCCAGCCCTGCTGTTTCCTCTCACCAACTTCCTGTTGGTGGCCTCACCCTGCTCCTGGCTGTCACCCCCAGAGTGGGAGGTGAGCTTGACCTCACCCCCACATCAGAGTCCTATGACAGGAATGAATCCCTCTTACCTGTCCTGACAAGCATCAGGACAAGTGTGAACACAAGCGTGGACAATGAGGGAACCCAAGGATGGAGGGGCGGCCACTGTGCATCCCGTCAGGCAGCATCCTCACGCATCTGCCATCAGACCGGCTGCCTCCTGACTTCACAGAGGAGAGCGTCGGGCTGAGATTTGCTGGGCTGTGTCCATGCTTGTCTCAGTTTTCATTTGTAGTAACCATTAAAATATAGTAAGCCTATTACATATTGACATAACATTTCCTGTCTTATGAGAACTGCTTTCCAAAGCCAACCGTTCACTGATGCATTCCTCTGCTTCAATCTGTTGATGTCTTCTACTGTATTAATTTCAGTTATATTCTTCACCTCTGGTGGGTTTTTAGTATTTTCTGTTTAAAACTTCTCTCTTCTTACTCAGTTAATCCGTTTTTCTTCTTAGTTCTTCGGTCAGCTTTATGATCATCATCCTAAGGTAGATTCCCTGTCTTCACATCATTTCTAAGAAGAACTTGTTCCATCATTTGGAACACGTTCCTGTCTCTTCATGTTGCCTACATTGCTGCACTTTGTGTATGTGATGTTTGGTTCAGTTTCCCGAAATTGGACAAGTGGCCCATTAGG